GAATTAGCACTGAGGAAGAGATTCCAATTCGAGAAACGCTGGCAGAGCCATTTCATAGTAACACGTAAGTCAGTCTGTCAACTACAGTTCACGATTCTAAACCTAATTATAGCGCTTCAAAATCTATGCAGCAGCACTGATAGAATTAAAGAAAGACCAATCCATAGTGGTTGTAGATTATAATACTATGTTCTTACTGATTGATGAGACAATTACATTAAAGATCAGTACTCAACACTGTCAACTAACCTGATTGATAGGGCCATAGACCCAACATTGCAGGAACATCTGGTGTTTTCATCAAAATAGACCAATTAATAGGTCATAAGTCTCTGGATATAAGTTTAATATTGTGCAGTATCTGTTAGGAGGTATCAACCAGAGAAGACTACTTGGATGTGTGTTCAAACCAACAGAAAGTCTTTATTAGCCTTCCAGAGACTACCCTAGGTGTTCAGGACCTGAGTTCAGTCCCAAGCCTTTCTCAGGATGGGTACTGAAGCACAAAAAATAAGTCCTGGGTTGACATGCCTCAATTAGCAAGAACAGTTAGCCAAAAACCACAACTACAGAAGCCTGGAAGCAAGGTTCGTGTATCTAGTGACTGTCTCAGAACTCCTGACTTTGGTGGATTAGGTCGTTGTGCCCATTTTGGCAAGTGATAACTCCCTGTATACATGCTGAGTTCCAAGGCCTGAATGGCATTTCCATCATGGTATCAATTGTGCTAAGCTCTGGGGGCCTGTTTATGCACGCGCGCGCACACACACACACACCTTAGAGTTTCCTTTTTCTGTAATTGTAACCAACATTTGGCAATTTAAAAGAATTTAAATCTTACATACCAAAACAAAAGAAGTCTAAAATACCTAGGAATAAATTTGATTGTTGATATTTAAGACCCCTAAGACTAAAACAATTTAGTTAAGATCATTTTTAAGGCTCAAATAAATGATGAGGCTCATAATGTTTTAGAATCAAAGGATTCAACATTGACAATAGTCCAGATTTTTCTCAAATTGGCTTGTAGCTTGAGCACAAATTCAACTAAAATTCTGCCAGATTTTCTACTGAAATTCTTTATTGGAAAAGCTAATTCTTGGATGTATATTAGAATGCAAAGGGCCTATGGTAGACAAAATAATCTCTAGAATAAAAATAAATAAATCTGGAGAACAGATATTATCTGATACTAGGACTTCTTAGTAGCTGTGATGAGGACAGATAACTCCATCAGTGGGTACAATAGAGTCCAGACAACAACTCACGCAACTCGTCAGTTGTTTTCCAACCGTGTTGCCGGGGGCAATTGAGACAAAGAAGGTCACGTCAGGCTCATTATCAGCTTCTTACGTTGTATGTATCGGTGTCAAGGGCAGAGAGATGTGGCTCACTGTGTTCTATAGGAAAGGCAGAGCTAGCACATCAGCGAGCCCACGTGAAGTGTCCCTGGAGTCTCCTTGAGTCAGAAAGCTAACTGCTTCTCCGCGAGTCACTCGCTAGCTGTGTGAGGAACTGCTAAATATTTTCCGTTTGGGAAGGGTTCTCGTAATTGTGACATTCACAACCACAGACGTTTCTGGGCGCCATTATTAAGATAAACACCCGGGAAAGAATTAAGTAAAAATGGGTAGTTTTTGCTGAAATCTGAGCAAATTCGCTCTTTCGAAGAGGTCACAAATTTGGCTCAAGTCCTGGATGAATATTAAAGCCACAGAGGCTCCAGTCTGCCGAGGTGCCCTACTGTTGGAATGACCCTAGCGATGTAAAGTGCTGCAGTAGTGCTGGGTCATGGCTACATATTTTTCATTCATTCATTCATTCATTCATTCATTCATTCATTCATTGTTTGTCCTGTAGCAGTCGATATCAAGCCTAGGATGATAAGCGAGGCCTGTATCTCTGTCTCAGCTTTTCACGCACAGAAAGTGCAGGCTAAAATAAATGCCTTCTCATCGTAGGATATAGATGAGTCGTGAGCGATCACTGCAAACTCTCCGTTTCTTACAGCCTATACCAGTGTTGACCAATGGAAATACAATGCAAGCCCAAGTGTAATTCTATTTTTCCTAACAACCCCATTCAAAGGTATAAGGTGGTTTCAGTTGGGTAATATGTTATCTAAATTGGTGTATCTAAACTATGATCATTTCAACGTGTGATTAATATTTATTTGCTGACTTTTTGTATCGCTAAGGATTCAACCTAGGGCCTTGCATATTCTGGGCGAATACTACACCGCTGAGCTATACCCTCCAGTCTCCATATTTTGAGTATTTATTAAAGAATCTTTGGAAGGTATCGTGCCAAGCTTTTTAAAAGAACAGCCTGCGCTTCCTGTCGGACTTCTCATGTCAGTATGGATAAGTCACATTTTAGCCATCCCATAGCCACACGTGGGGAACGGCTGCCTTATTGATCGTGTAACCCATGTGGATCAACTCCGGTCAGCTACAGGCTGTTCAGTTTTAAAGCTGGACTCCAGAGGGAGACCTGATGGTGCTTCTGATGCTGAAGGGAAATCACCGTGTCCGGGAAAGAACTTCCATTATTGTATGACTGCAAGTCCAGGACTTGTGGTCCAATGGCCATCCTTCCGTTGTGGCTGTGTAACTCTCCGAGAGAACCCCGGGGTTTTGCCATATTTATAGACTAATCTACCTAGCCAGTGTGCAGATGGATCCAAGTGGTCTTTGGGCATTGTAAATAATCCCCAGTGTCCGATGATTCCCCCCAATAATGATTTTTCAGAGGGCAAAAAGATGGCTATTAAAATTTCTCCATAAATATTTGTGAGATGAAGGGTGAACGGAATCAGTAGCCTACATATTTATTTCTCTGACGCACAAACAAAATATTTTTAGCTACAAGTTAATGAGCTCACATTTATTTACATCCTTGTCTCCTGGTTAAAATTCATTGGCATCTTAACAGAATAATTTCTGTTCTTCTCCCTAAGGTCATTATTTTCATTAGGCTACCCGCCCCCATATTTCCAAGACCGCAACTAATCTGCTGTGCCGTGCTGAATTTAAGATTCTGAATGTAGAATCGCACACCACTGTAGAACTTCAGCCTTGACGCGAAAAGGGCATGAGCTGGAACCAGTTTGGATTTAGACATTGTTTCAACACAACTGTTTATAAATCCATCCTCAGGTGGGCTTACCCATCTCCACTCCTTCAGAGCCACCTGGGATGCAGAACACGGGGCCGGCTGTTGACCTGGGCTCTCCAGAGACTGTCCCTTAGGGACTTGCTGTGTGAACTGTCCCGAGGAAGAGTCATTTCACACCGAAGCTTGACAGCTGCTGTCATTCACACAGTGACGTTCTACATTAGTGTGACTCTGGATTAAATTACACCTCACCATTTCAATCGGTTCTGTTACCGCAAGAAATGCGATTTAAGTGTTTGCTCGCTGTTCGTTACCCTTTCTGGACATTTCATTGTGTGCTATAATTTCCCTTTCAGTAAGGTTTCCATCATTCAGGGAAACTCCTTGATATGCAGGTTATGAATGATGGATTGTACCAGAGTCAAATCGTATTTATCATAAATGAGCTAATGTCTAAAATCAAATTGTCTGGGACCCGGACTGCATTCTCTCACACTTTCTCCTGGTCTTGGTAATGTCTGTGACAGTGTCGGGAAAGGTGTGCCTCGCCTCCTTCTTTTTTTTTTTTCCCCCTATGAAATCATTTTAAGAGTACTTTAACTCAATCACAGCTCTGCAGAAATCTATTGAACCAGACACAAATCCCGGAGCTTAGAAAGGGAATCTGGCTCAGTGTCTGCCCTCGAGGAGGTCATAGCCTCTCGCAAGGCAGTGCTGAGAGAGAGAGGCATAGGAGCCTTACACTAAATGCAATATATAAAGCCAACAAGGAGCAGGAAGAAGCAGGGGTGGGTACGTGCTCCAGAAAGGGATAGGGAGGCTGGGCTTCAAAGAGAGGGTGGCACTCTGCATACGTGTGAGCCACAGCTAGCTAGAGAGGTAAAGGCATGCCTACTGGGCTATCCAGGACACAGGGTAGCTCAGAATTGGAGTCTTCTAAGCCGGAATGTACTCTTTCTGCTAACCACAGGCCTGTCCATGAACCTGACCTTCAGAAGCACGCTGGCTACCATTTTGTTTTTCTTCTTTCTTTCTTCCTTTCTTCCTTTCTTCCTTCCTTTCTTCCTTCCTTTCTTCCTTCCTTCCTTCCTTCTTCCTTCCTCTCTCTCTCTCTCTCTCTCTCTCTCTCTCTCTCTTTCTTTTTTCATACCAGAGATCTCTGTGGTGAAATCTGAAAAGTGATACATTCCCTTTTCGGGCCCTTAGGCGCCATTTAATTCACACCAGCGATCACTACCTCGGACCTCACCTTTAAAGGATGCCAAAAGCAACGTGCTGCTAATTTATTGTCTCACCTGTCAAAGCTCTAGAGAGAATCCAGCTCTTGGAATTTAAAGAGAGTTGAGATGTTACCGTGATGCTTACCGATTTAATCCCGCCATAAATTAGATGGAATGATGATGCTGCCCGTGGTCACTCCATGTTTGCCTCATCTCCAATCCCTCTCCTGCCTTCCTTAACTCAGAATGAAGTGCCCCAAAGCGTTAATGGAGATGGGGGGGTTGCGTTTTTTCGGTTGCAAGATGTGTAAGCTTTTACTGGAATGGGAGAGATGGGGACTCATACTCATCTCTTGCAAGCCTGTTAACACCTTGCTAAGCAGTTACAAGTAAGGAAAGTGGGGTTCAGATATTAAACAGCTTGTCCACCTCGCTCTGAAAGCAGTTCCCAGAGCCCCCACACACAGACCCAGGTCTTCTGACTCTAAACCCAAGGCCCTTTCTGGTGTTACCTCACAGAAGACGGTTCCCCCGGTATTTTGCAGGGCAAGGCATTATTGTCAGCCTGCAAATGGAACCAGACCTCCTGCCCTTCCCCATCACTCAGCCGCCCGTGTGTTTGCTTTATCCCCTTCACGGTCATTATCTGGTGTTCTCTTACAGAAGGCAACAGACTACCGCAGCAGAGAATGTCCTTAGACGGGAGCCCCAAAGCTCTTCATGGACCATCAGAGAGGCCAGATGGTCTACAGTGGTCATCTGGGCAGCCTTGTAACCCAAGCAAGCCTAAGGCAAAAACGTCTCCTGTTAAGTCCAATGCCCCCGCAGCTCATCTCGAAATAAAGGCCGATGAGCTGGCAAAGAAAAGAGGTAAAGTGGTTTCTTTCGCGCACATGACTCGACATGTTCCGTACACACCTAAAAGTACCAGTATGGCAGAGGTAGAACTTTCCAGAAAAAAAAAAAAAACAAATACTGCTTAGCAAAGAGGATCCTACTTACAGTGGAATTTCTTCTTTATTTTTTCCCCCTATGATCCACTCGGATGGAAGATGGGAAGACAGATACGGTCCTTCCCATGTCTGTCAAAGGTCTAAGAGAATCAAGGTGGAATGGCATCCCCTTCTCTGCCCCACCGTGGATGGATGTGTGTTCATTTAGCTCGGTCATTTAGGAAGCAGCATTAGCGCAGGACGGATGAGTGGCCCCCAGACATATGAAGTCCAGGCCTGTGTGGATGAAGATGGATGTAGATCCTGACAGCTCTTCCCTGAGAGACGGTCTTCCCTGTGTGAACTCGGTTCTGTAGTAGAACTTTCAGACAATCTAACACTGCAAGGCTTTCTGCTATTTGACACGCAGAGTTTCCATCTTCCAAACCTCGGTGTCTTTGACTTGTGACTAGACAGACGTACGAATGAAATGGCTAAATCACTTCCTTTCTGATTCCAAGGCTCAATAACTCAATGACTTCTGATCCGGCCTCAGTTGTATTTGATTTCTGTGACTCTGGCTTGACACACTAGCTCCGTTTTCTCTAGGGAGATTGCTTTCTTTGACGAAACATACTCTTGATGAGATAAGAGCAGCCTGCTGGCTGGGCAGGCTTTCCACCCTGGTGCAGATTGCAGGAAACCCGGGGAGATGGGCACACATAGAGATGCTTGCATGCTGTTCCTGTCACTCCAGGCCTGGCTCAGGATGCCAGTCAGGAGCCAGCATACCTGACACTCTTGCCCCACTCTCTCTAACCCATTTGTACGTCCCCCGTTTGTACTCCCCCCCCCCCAGTCTCTCTGTCATTGTCCTGCCCAACAATCCCTGTTGACTTTGAGCCACACGTGGTGGTGCTTACAGAGAGAGCCAGCTGAACAAATGGCCTTTAGATTGGAAGGCACTGATGTTTATGACACTTCAGGCAGAAGGACAGACAGACTCTACATGGCACAGCCAGTGTTCCTCTGGGTGAAGACATTCTCGAGAACCAGACAAACCATTTCCCTTTAGCAATGTTTTTCCTCTAGAAAACAAAAGCCAGGTCTGTGTGGGGTGGGTGGGTTGCCTCATTTTTTTTTCTTTTAGCTCATAAATAAAAGATAAAGTGGTCCCGCTGATCGTCTTTTTCTTGGCGTCCATTTTAGGCCCAAATATCGAGAAATCGGTGAAGGATTTGCAGCGCTGCACTGTTTCCCTGACTCGGTACCGCGTCATGATCAAGGAGGAAGTGGACAGTTCCGTGAAGAAGATCAAAGCCGCTTTCGCCGAGCTACACAACTGGTGAGTAAAAGCCGACCCCACAGCCATAAATTCCCAGCGTCCGGGCCGTTCCCGTGGCCTCTAAAAAGCATCAGATGGAAAAGGTGGTTTATTTGATGCATAAACATCACAGAACAGCTCTCTGGCTGAGTCTTTTTCAAGTTCTGTGGGCAGGAAAATAGATCTTGGAAATGAGAAAGAAAAGGTATTTGACTAAGAACTCTGATAGCCATCACGATTCACTGGAGTTTGAAGCTGACCTAAGAGCGTATCAGGGCTAGGGACAACAAGTAAATTTGTTAAGCATTCCAGACATATGGTCACTCAGCTCTGCTCTTGTGAAAGCAACCTTGGACAATGCAGAAAGACACTGGGGCAAGGTTGGCTCCTGGGGTCTGCCGCTTGGCAGCCTCGGTCTTTGGAGGGGAGTTCTGCACCCTATCCATGTGGGTACCACTGTAGAGTAAGCGCTTCCTCCAAGGGCCCCTCATGATACAATGCATCTGAGTGACTGGGGCTCTGGCTTACCCAGTGTAGCAGTAACCGCTAATCCCCCCTCCTCCAGCTGTTATGACTGCTTTTTATTTTCTTAATTTTGTGTGTTAGTAGAAGGAAGAACACGGGGATCACGAGACATCTGGAGGTTTACAGCAGGCTTGAGTTTCTTTCACGCCTCAAATGGTGAAAGTGTGGGCCAGGAAAGCCAGTGCCCATGGAAGCAGTGTGTGGTTTCTCTGCTCTCGATTCTTCCTTTGCTCTTTAACCTGGTGGGGAGACGGGGCCTGAACGAGCCTTGCCATGCTAAAAAGTCACCCACAAGACAAAAGGATGCTTCCTTCCAGACCCAAGAAGGAAGTGTGTAGTTCAACCATTTGCTATATGTGGCGGCTACTGAGTAAACGCCAACACTCCTTTTCTGACCTCACCCTTTATAAAAATGATCCCACAATTGTGCGCTAACTTAAAAATCAAATCAAATTACTGTGTAAGCATAACCATTTGGTGCGTCTCTGCCAAGAGGAAACCTTTGCTTCTGTTCCAGATAAGACCTGGGCCCAGCCAGCACAGTGACAAACTAAGACAGAACCTCCCTTGTCTCTGCAGAGGGGAGGGGGGGGATGAATTTTGGGAATTGTGGTACTCATAGAAATACCAGGCTACAGAAGACTTGGGAAAGAAGTTTCCCTACTGATGGCTAAATCGTGTACCATAGGCAACAGAGGAGCCGTGTGCCTGGCACCACCAGCTTAAATACAGGCAAACCTTGGGCTCCATTGGACGAGGTTTATAGATACAAAACACATGGTTCGCATCCTTTGGTTTTCTGAAAAAAAAAATTATTCATTCTGAAATGGTACTTAGGTCATGTGACCCTCAGTGGCGTGAGTCAGTGAGCCCCACGCCTAGATCCTCCCTCCGGTCCTTATTTGGATTGCCCAGTCCTCCTAACTCCCAAGTACTCAATAGGAGGCATTGTGTGTCCTTCAGAAATAAATGAATAAAAAAAACATACATTTAATGTAAAACATTAAAACATTAAAAAAATTTCACTTTGCCACCAATTGCCAACTTGAAGACTTGAGGACACCCCAAGAACGATCGTGATGAGTTCGTGGGGGAGCGGCGATTTAAAGAAGTTAGAAGAAAGTGGGCGGCTGGTCATCCGCCAGCCTTACCGAGGACACACCAGGGCTGAATGAGCTGGGCATTGTTCCTTCCCAAGCAGGCCATGAAGAACGCTTGCTCGATAGAGTTAACTGAGAAAAACCACATTGGCGTTTCACCGGAACGCTGTCCCATGTGACTAGCTGGCTAAACGTGGGACTTTCCCATCTTCTCAGAACGAACCGGGGATCTGAGCAAGTAACCAAGCTATGACATGATCCTCTCCCGCTGTGCCTGAACAGAAGATAAACTTGGCAACGGGAGCGTAAAAATAATACCAGGAACTAACGCGAAACAGCTGGCTTCGTCTCTGTCCGACTGGCCCTCCTGCCACAGCTGGGAAATAGTCATCCTTTGGAATCATCGCTGCCAGATTTAATTGCTCTGTGCGCAGACTAGCCTAGCTTCTCATCACAGAGCCGGCGAGTGTGTGTCCAAGTTGATTACGAAGGCTTAAATGAGCAATAAAACATGGAATTGAAAAAACATCCGGGAAGTATAATAATACTCGATATTTCTGCCATATGCTAAGAGAGAAAGCATCCCAAAATAGAGCTATAAAAATCCTGTTAGGTGTTATTGTCAGTTTAACATCTAACTAAGAGCACCCCTGAGGAAGAGGGAAGCTGGGCGGGAGCCAGCAAAGTCGTGGCAGGGTGGGTGGGGGTGGTGATGAGGTTGGAGAGATGGGGGTGCTGGACGGGGCAATCGTTTTAAGCAGTTTTATTTTGAATAAAAAAAAGGCATTTAGAGCACTCATTCTGTGGCTCGGGACCACACTGGCCCTGTGTCCTGTGTCTTGTTTTCCTGAAGTAGGGCTGTATTCATTACCTTTCTTGTAGCTACGGCCAGTTAACACAAGAAGCACTTTAGGGAATGAATGATTTGTTAGTTCGCAGTAAAGAAGGAACACATCCCTCCTAGAGGGAAAGGCACAGGGGCAAGACCATGAAGAGGCTGGCCACATCATCTGTGCGGTCAGGAAGCAGAGAGCTGACCGGAAGCAGGCTAAGCTGTAAAACCTCAAGGCCCACCCCTAGTGACCTGCTTCCTCCCACGAGGCTCTGCCTCCAAAAGTTTTGCAAACTCCCAAAATGGTGCCCACCAGGGGAGAAACCAAGTATTCCAAACCTGTGATCCTATGATGAGCTTTCATGTTTAAACCACAACAGAAGTGAGGTCTCGTCTAGGCCAAGTCCGGAGTTGAGATGTGAGTCTCAGCCCTTGCCCTCTCCTCCTTTATCTGCCTCCTTTCAGGTCATCTCCTCCTCCTTCGTATCTCTTCTGGGGCTCCCTCCTGTTGCCCCCTTTAGGCCAGAGCTCCTGGTGTCTCCATACCCCTTTGTTCTTTTGATTCATTGACCCTTGCTGGTCTTCTGTAGTTCATGACCTCATCCTTGTGGAGATGTACTACTCCACACCTTCCTGAGCTTGTGTCCTCGCTTGATATTATATATTATAAATCTAATGCATCCAGCATGGCTTCGGGGACGAACCTGACCAAGGCAGCAAGGATGTGAAGGAAAATCCAGAGTCAGAGACACAGATGGGCTAGGATCGGGTGGGCGAGAGTCTGACGGAGAAACCCGCGGCACCCTGACAGCTCAGTGTGTTTATTATATAGAGTTGAACAGGGAGGTGGGGCTATCGCATACAGATAGACAAGGAGGCGGGGTTTATGGTATACAGCTGGATCATGGAGACGGAGATGGTTTAGCCAATCTAGGTAGGAGCAGTCTCTGTAGGCAAATGGTCTTCATGCCCTAAACGTCAGGTGAGAAAGAGCTATGGTGGACATATTCTGCACACACTATAAGCAGCCGCACATGGACCAGAAAGAAAGGCTGTGCCATGTCCCTCTGGGTCTCCCCTCCCGGGAAGAAGGCTTTGCTGTTACTCCATGGGTCTTAGTCTCTGGGGTCTTGGACATGGCTGTTCAGATCATGTCAACATTATATACATTCACTCAGAACCTCACTCCCTCAGGGCTTCTTCTCCCCCCTGTGCAAGTCCATCCATTTTCCTGCCGGTTTTGTGATTTCATTTTTCTTTAGAACTAAATAGTATTCATATATATATATATATATATTACTACATATATATAGTATACTATATATTGTAAATATATGTAATTTTCATTGTTGTTATTGTACCAAATTTCCCATGCATATTGCTGCTTTATTCACTATAACAAGAAATTGGGACCAGCCTAGTAGTTGCCCCATTAACAGATGAGTGGAATTCATGATAGCAAGAAATTTGGACCAAGCTAGTGCCCCTCACCGGATGATGAGGTAATGAAAACTTGTTTGTGTCGGTTTAAATCCAGCTGCTTCCCTTTTGGGTCTGGTAACAGTTGAAAGTCACTGGCCACAAAGCGTGTGGAGGAGAGAGGAGTCCGAAGCCGGTGTCGTCAAGGTCTCTCTCTGGTCTCACAGTGTCTCCCCTCTGGCAGACGGTCAGTCTGGCAATATCGTTGGCTGTCAGAGCGACAGGGAGGGCATGTAACCAGTCTCTGGTAGCACAAGTGAGACCAGGGGCACTGCTAACCAGCCAAGGACGCATGGGATGGTCTCTCTGCCCATCTTCCTTCCTTCCCATGCTCCTACAACAAGGGCATCTTTGGTCCAAAGATGTCGGTAGTACCAAGACTTCCCTACGGGAAGAGAATGCAGTACGTTGAGGGAAAGACAGACTCTATAACACTATGAGTATCTAACTTCGGGCACCCCATCCTCTAAGGCCAATAACGGGGATACGAGAAGGGGGAGTTTCTTCCCCGTTGCTTTCAAACCACAAAGCCTTCCCTTTTCAATCAGTGGTAGAAAAAAAAATTTTTTTTTCCATACTGCCTGAAACATAACCCTTCCAGCTACGCGTTTTAAAGGTCAAATTACATTTTTGCCTCCTTGAGATCAGAAAAACAATTACACTGTAGTATAGGAAATTGAAGGCTTTGCTTTCGGGGGGGGGGGGGCTGTTTTTCATTACAGAATTCAACTCAGCCCTTAGAAGGAAATGGAAAAATTAAGAACTGGAGGTTACAGCTAATGACAGGCAGGCCCTTTCATTAGCGATTCTGTCTCTACCAGAGTCCTTTTGTCATTTTATAATAAAGCCAAATATCACAGCGGGGACCAGGATTAGGACGGAGATCCGAGGCACGTTAAGATACGTACAGTCGGGAATTGTTTCATGAAGCGCCTGTTTAGGGGTATTCTTCCTTGGCTTTGGGCAGGCAGCAATGTTACTTGGCATTCCCAAGTATACATGGTTCATGTCCAGTCACGCCAGATGGAAGCAGAAGGTCTTTCTGGATAGCTGATGATGCAGCAGTCATTGAACAAATCCTTAAT